TAGGAAAAAGACACAGAGGAGAATTTCTAGCATGGTTTTGGTTCCCAAAGCTACATTTATATAATGCTCAACATGCAAGGATGTCGTTTTCTTTTTCTATCTTTTTTGCCTAAAAGAAAATATAGGACTTTATGAGATAAATAAGAGTAATGTCAGTTTTAAGTTTAGAACATTAAAATGGTAGGCCCTGAATGTTACTGACAATACTAATTTTGAACTTTAATGAAAGTACCACACTTTGTACCTAAATGCAGTTTTATTTACACCCTAAAATTTTTCCAAGACTTGTATTCTGTTTGATTCACTCAACCCAAACCTAGATTTGGCTATGTATGAAAATCTATGTCCTCAGCCTAGACTTCTTTTAATTAGCACTGTTGTCTATAGTGAAATGATTTTCTTTTTCATTAGGAAATTTAGGAAATAAATACTCCCACCTTGAGGCAGTTTATATTATCATTAGATTTTAGTTAGCTGGAAATGTTACTTGAAAAAGGACTTATTTGATAACATCAGACAAATACGGTATTATACAAGTGAGATATTACATATAAACTATCCACTGGAAAGCCTATTTGGATTTTTCTTTCATTATCTTGTGTTATAACCAAAGAGGCATTTGATATACAGGACTTTCAAATACTAAATAGGCTTTGGTGAATTCTGTGTGAAAAACCTGATACAGGTCACTCAAACAGTCTTTCCTCCGTTTTTCAATTTTATTTCTTCTGAGAGAGATATGAATGGAGGAAGATAAAGAAACAGAGAGACAGGTCCTTCCAACAGGGTCTCACACCATGATGTACCAGTGTGAGCAAGCCAGATCACAGGCATGGACTGGAACCTGGGACCTTCCCACGTGTGTCCAGTTGTATTACTACTGTGCCACTGGCTGGCCCTTCCTCTATTTATTTACAAAGTTAGGAAGGTATGCTTTTAAAATTCTCAAGTTTCGGGACTAGCAGATGGTGTAATGGTTATGTCGCTGGATTCCCATAGTCAACTGCAGTTCAAGTCCCGGACTCAGTGGCTTAAGACTCACACCAGGCGAGATGCGAGTGCCCAGAAGCCCAAGAGGAGAAAGGAGGAGAAGGGACTGCGGTGTGGCCATCCCCTCTAGGGGGTGATTGCTCACTTTCTGTCTCTCTTGTCTCTCCAATGAGCACACACACCCTAGAGCAAAAAATCAAATTTTTTTTTATTTTTTAGAGAGGTTTTTGTTATAGGGCGCGTGCACTCGCCAGACAGAGACATAGAGACAGAAAGCGAGAAATCACTCCGCAATCCCTTCTCCTCCATTCTCCTCTTGGGATCTTGGGCATGCACACACACGCGCCCAGCGTGAGTTTTAAGCCACCGGGTCCGGGACGCGAACTGCGGTCGACTACGTGGGAGTCCAGCGACATAGCCATTACGCTAACTGCTGGTTCCCATGGATACTCAATTTTTTAATAAAAAAAGAATTTTTAAATTTAATTTTATTATTATTTTATTTTTTTAAAGTTGACCAGAAAGAAACTGAGAGAGCAAGTGAAGGAAAATGAGAAAGCAAACTGCCGGGTCTGGGACTTGAACAGTGGCCAGCCATGTGGGAGTCCAGCTGCCTCAACCACCAACGCTACCTGCTGGCCCAAATTCTCAAGTTATTATTTTTTTAAGAACTATTTAATTAATTATTATTTTTTTTTTTTAAGTTTTAATTTGATCAGAGGGGACAGAGAGAGAAGAGGAGGGAAAGTGAGAAAGCCAGCAGCCAGGTCCAAGATTTGAACTGCAGTCAGCCATGTGGGAGTCCAGCAGCCCTAACCACCATGCCACTTGCTGCCCCCGAGCTCTGTTAAATTATTATGGAACTAAATCAACAAGTAGATTTAAGTAGTAGATTACAACACACTGAATTCAGTAGCTTGGGAACATATAGTTCCTCCTTCCTAGACATCTGGTTGATGTCTTCGGGGACTAGCTTCTAAGGAAAATTAGTCTAGGAGTAGAGATCATTTGACCTGTAGCCATTCTGGCAGAGAATGGCCCTGTGCCAAGCTGGCCACATGGATCTCTGTCAGTTGGACTGCAGTACAGTAGGTATGCTGGGGTGGGGAGGAAGTGGCCTCTGGGCACCCAAGAAACATTCTTACCTTTGAGGGGTCGGTTATCAGTGCTGTCAGATTGGAAAGGTAGAGATGAGCTACTGGTAACACCCTTCAAATGGAAAGATTTATAGGACAGGATGGAAGGAGCAGGTTAATAAAAAAGTCTTTGAACTAAAGTATCAAGGACAAGTGACTGGGTCCTGCAGATTAGATGAAAGCATATACAGAAAGTGCACAGGCTGGGCGAGGCCTCTGATGGGTGCCCAGTCAATGTCAGCCTTGTGCCTCCAGAGATAGAACAAGGTATCTCTGTTGACTTGGGTGTAATAAGTACAGCTCACCAATCTTTCATCAGTGGCTTCATTTGCTGATGGGCTAATTCAGTTGGTGTTGACATTGTTGTCCCCAAGGAGCACAAAGAACCCCATGTATTAATTATCAGTTAGATTTTCTCTGGGTTTCAGTGACTTCTCCTGAGACAGCTTCAGGGGATGATGGGATGATGATCTCATGGTTTTTTTCCACTGCCAGTTTCTTTAACTCCCTACAGAATCTCAGGTTCTGAATTAGGTAAATAAAGCTGCTCTAATCACTAAAGGCCAGAGCTTTGTCACTTGTGGGAACATATTTTTCTCACTTTAAAATTGGCTTAACTGTGTACATTCTGTGTGCACAGTACTATAAAAAGTGAAACACTACAAAATTATCTTCACCCGACCAGTGATTATGGATTGTTATATATGCCTTTTTACCATGCCCAAATATTAATATACGTAAATTTGATGTAAATACATATATATTTTCTTTTATACTAAAGTGGGGAGATATATTTTTAATATTTTTAATTTTTATCCGTGATAGAACACATGAAAGACAAGCAACCTCTCTAGGGTCTGGAATTCTGCAATCTGCTTCCTCCAGTCTTCTAGTCTGTCAGATACAGGGCACCTGGGCATGAAATTAGCGTGTTTCAGGCTGACCAGGCTGGGAATTCAAACCCATCACCACTTGGGATCCAGCTTTTCTTGAGTAGCACATTACTGCTATGCCTTAAGCTGGCCCAATGTGTTTTTAAATCTATTTTTTATATACATACATACAAAACTATTCATTCCAAAGAACAGACATCATGCCAAATCAGTAGCTATAAATTATTTCATAGCATGATATTCTAAAGTATGTATTTACCATTAGTTATGATTATTTTTCTATAGGTAGACACTCAGGTTGTTTCTCTTTTTTTTAACCCATACTAATAGTATCACATTGCTTTTGTATATATATTCTTTGGTGCTTTTATTTTAGGCGTTTGTCTGGGATAGTCTCAAAGGTAAAATTATTAGGTTAAATGTTCTGGTTTTGTTTTTTTAATTGTCAGAGGATACATATGCTTGCTGGGGTGGGGAAAAATGATTCCGCAGAGCTTGTGGTGTGAATCAGTGGTGTGAAAGAATTATATTGCTTTTTTTGCTTACACTCTACTGTGTCTAGCTCATTCAATAAACTAGTTTATATAAGTGCCACACTCTATACATACATAGACACACACACACACACACACACACACACACATAT